CCAAAACATAACTCTTTTTGCATTTCTGTTCTTATATAGAGTGGAACAAGCAATTTCAGTTTCGGGTATGTTGTTAGAATTCTAAGATATTGGTCTCAGAAGAGTTGCATCTAAATTTCATAAACATTAGTACCAGTATCTTGAAATATTGACTTGGCATTCACACAATTTGCAGACTAAAGTAATCACCTAAAATCCGATTTCTTTATTACAAATGTGGACATTTGTGAAAATCTTGGAACTATACAAAAACTTTTTGTAGTTGAAATGATACAAAGTTGTTCTTTTGTTCTCTTTTGTTCATATGAAAATTTGATTTGTTTAAAGTGAACAGTTGCACTTTAAAAAAATTGAGATATCTGAAAGACAAAAATCATTTTTTTAGTTATAAAGGAAGCAATGAATACAAAGCTTTATGTGGCTTTCTTTCAAAATTTGTGTTGAAAATGGCTTTGTCCAAAATAAAGGTAAATTCTACTTTTCTTTTAGATATTGAAATAACAGAATGTGAAGATTTTAGAAAATTATCAAGTATGTGACACTATGGATTAAGTACCATTTAGTATTTATACTGGGTTATGTATATTTTAAACTTACATGAGCCATAACAAGTGAAGAGTATCTATTGGTTGGTTGATTTTATTTAGTGGCATATCAACCTCTATGTGTTATTTAATGCCAAAATCTAAATATTTTGAACACAATATTATGACTTCAACTACAGATAAAATGTATTGTTAGTCATTTTGCTATAAAATTTATTGTTGATCATTCTACTTTAAAAATGTATTATTGGTAAATTTACTATAAATATGTATTTTTGGTAATTTTTTTATATACAAATGTATTGCTGGTATTTTTACTATAAAAATGTATTTTTATACTTTCCTAATGTTTGGGGATTCATTATTTACCCATAGCTGGGAACCTCACAGGTGCTACCACCCTGGGTGACAGTTGACCTGGGAACAGCAGCAATTAAGAGGTAAGGGTATCTGTCTGCAAGAAGATACCCCCATATGTTATAAAATAACTCCTAGTTTGAATATAGTAAGGACAATTTGGTTACACTCAATATTTATCAATATAGAGGTAACATAGTTTATTTAAAAAGCTTATTACAATAACTCTCCATATGATATTGTTGGGATTGCTATGATTATGAATTTGGTATCAGAAGGTTTTTATATTAAGATGTTTAGTTTACGGGCATGTTCACCATATTAATCCGTAACAATATAGAATATAGACATTCAAAAACGAATCAATTACAAGGCAATTGAGTAAGAAACACCGATTATGAGATTTCAGTAAAACAACATGCATTTATGTACAATTAATATACAGTTTGAAAACTTGTAGTTTGATAATGCAAGAAATTGACCATTGATAAATCGGTTTTCTTATTGATTTACAGTTCAAAATTGTTCAAGTGTTTAAGAACTGGTCAAACAGAGTAAAATGGAAAATATTATTTATACAGAAATTTGTGTAGTTTTTATGCGTGAATAAAGTAGGAGTTTGTATGCGTGAATAAAGTAGGGTTTAATTGTCTAAATTCTCCAGAGTTGTTTACCTTGGATTGTTCTGTGTTTGTCTTTGTTTAAAATACAATTTCTATTTTAGTAGTGTGTAAGAACACTTTTCTTAGAAAGTTGTAAGTGAGATATGAGAGATTATGTTGATGTTTGAGTCAGCAGTTGACGCGCGAAATTGTATCTTAAGTCAAAGTAGTGACATGTGTGGATTTGTGTGTCATCTCTCTGAAGTTTATTGACTGACTGGTGAATTGGATCGAGATAGTCCTTTTTATTTGTTTTTGGAAACCAAAATAAGCTCCAGTGAACTGGGCGTGAAAACAGTTTTTCGACAATTGTTACATGTCTCGACCAATAGAAAGTCAAGATTTGCAATGTGAGGTGTTGGTTGGTTAAAACTAATTCTGATGGAAGAGTGTATTTTATCTTGGAGGTGAGTATGAAATATGGACGATTGTATAATATAATTGTACACATATATAAAATTCAACAAAGAAATATGCCTTGGAAGGAGGATAAGAAAGGTCTTATGTTTAGGATGAATGCTGGCATGACTGTTATCTGAAAGTGAAGCAGAGAAATGACAGTCATATATTTATGATGTTGAGTCTGGCATAGCGTATAAACAAGATGTGTCTTTTCAAGATTATTGTGCTTGAAGATTTAAAGAACTCTAACACATTTTACTTCTTGATCAAGTTATCAGGTTGTCTGAAAATCAAGTTTATTCAACTCTATTTAGTATATACACAGTATAAGGTTTTGTATGTACACTTCCAAAGCAATGGTATATGTTATAAAATAAGACATATCTCGGCTGATTTGCAGGCAAATAAACTAAGATCTGTTTTACATTGAGGACAAATCTTTCTAATGTTTCAAGCAGAATGTCATCACAGCAATGCTTTATGAAAGAGATTAAATTATTTCACTTTTCAAACTTATTTCATTACTCATTAACATATCAATGGGACTTAAATTCTGGAGAGTTTGCAACTATTTCATAAACATAATGCATTTGCTTTTGTTGTTTCATTTGTTTTTTTATATCTTATCAATCCTTTCTTGGTTATTTAAAGTTAAAAACTATTTTAAATTAAAATAATATTTTTTTTGAGTGTAAATATTTCATTAACAATTTTTGGTGATAAAAGGACTTTTTCCAGATACATGTCTTTCTATTTAATTCATCGATCAAAAGAGAAGAGATGGATTCATACTTTTATGAATGTTACAAAATATTTAGCAGATATTCAATTTTTAGATTACTGTTTATTCCAATTTTTATAGAATTTTTTATGAAAAAAAGTTACTGTTTATTGGAACATTGTAAAGCACACATAGAGGAATTTATTGTTGAGAAAGAATAAAGAGGATGGAATTATATAGTTGCTTGAGAGATAGAAGATAGTGGAACAAAACAGTAAATATGTTGTTCAATAGAGTTAATATCAAAAATAAAAATTACATTTATTTTTACTTAACAAATTTGTGGGAAAATGAAATAAAATCAATAAAGAAAATAATAATAAAGAATAAAAAAAAGAAAAATAGATGTATTTTCTCATGATGTTAGTAATAGAGGAACTGGAAAGGGTTTTGGTCATTGGCACAATTTTATGGCATGACTACTGAAAATGACAGAAACACACTCTTTTCCCACTTTCCAACACAGTGTTCAGTTGTGTTCTGCAGAACCTTCACTGATGAAGTAAGTACAGCCTTTACTTTGGTTGTTCCAACTCATTGCAAAGCTGACTTGCATTTAACCATTATAACCATTCTTATCATTACTTACTCTAAGTTATTTTTGTACCTGAAAAAGAAAATGAACATACCCAAGAGACATTGAGAATTTTGTTTCCCTATAGTTTTTATAAAAAAATATAAACCCAAGATTTTGTTGCTTTTTCTTTAATTGTTTATATGTGAACACATATGCATCCACAATACACCAAGATGTTAAGTTGCATTTAAACTATTATTTAATGATCTTATCATTGTAAATAACTGTGTTATTTTGCTGAAATACAAAATTTCTTCCATAATGGAACAAAAGTCTTCTCTAACACTGTTACATGATGCTGAGCCTTTTGCTTTTCTTCTGTCATAATTAATTCAGCTTTACCTTTGATCGAAAAAGCTCGATATATCATAAAAGATCCTCTACCAAATGCATATTTAGAATAACCTTTTTGTCAATGAACACTCATTGCCAATTTTGTAATGTCAATGAATATATGTTGTCATTTTCTTAATGCTCATTGTAGTAGAGACTTTGTAATTGCAGTTACAACTATAGTAATACCATTGAACAATACTGGTGTCAGATGCCTTCAAATAACACTTGCACTAATAGTTGCTCAATAATACTTGCTCAAATAGTAACTGCCTAATAGTAATCCATATAGTGAACAGTATAGAGAAATAGTATAGAGAATAGCAATCTGTATAGTAATAGAAGATAGAATAGAAATGGTGATCGTTTAGATGTCATGCTAATTCCCATATATGCATTTCCTTTACCATCACATGATCTACTTATTCAAAATGGGATCACCTGTGTTTGCTCTCCGGCGATCTGTGTTCAAACTCCAGTGTCAGCAGTGACACTTTATTCCTATATAAAAAAACCTTGATTCTGAAGATCATGTCAATAGCATTGCATTCCATTGGTAATTGAAACAGAATATTCCTCTTTCATTGTTTTTTGGTCCAAGTCATTTTTCTGGCTGTCTACTTTTTCTTGTGAGTATCACTCAAAAGTATCTCAAGAATTGAAAACCTTAGGAGGGTCATTTGGTGATCTTATGGTGCATTATATACCCCAGTTTTTGCTATTCAGTACTTCCAAAGAGTGTGAATGATTCTGCACAAGCCTTTACTACAAAGATCAAACCATACGTACGTGATTAGTCTGGCTGTTCAATACTAAGAGTGAAACAGTTGGACTCTCAAACATTGATGATGATGTGAGAGTCCATCATATCACCTCACCTTGATTAACCTGACCTTTGGGTGTTCATTGGTCATAACATTTTTGCTGATAGCAGAATAGGTGGAAAGGATGTTGCATTGGTTCCAGTGTTGTAATTTTTTTTTCAGAACTGTCTTCCTAAACTCATTGCCAACTGAGGCTTGAGAGCTTTGTCTGTCCTGCTATAAAACCATAATTGGAGAGATAGACTGATTCATTTTCTATGGTTTATCAACACTTTGCAGATTATTTAAAGCCAGAAAATAATTTTAGATAGTAAGAACATTTTATTTTTGCTGATAATGGTTTTAGTGATACAAGCTTTAATAATGATTAACCTATAACTGTGGGAGAAAAGGTGGATTCTTACCTTTCCCAAGAGTATTTGCACATAAGTGAATATAATGAACCCAACTGGAATTGAAACTTGGCTCTCTGATTAACAATTCTGAGCCATTATCCATTACACCACACACACATCCAAGCTTACAGCACCTTGTATTCACAAGTGGTCACTCATCTAGGTACTGACTAGGCTCGATATTGCTTAACTTCTGTAATCATATAGGAACTGGTGTTTTGATGCTATATGGCCATAAGCTGGAGAGAAAAGAGATGGATTCATACTCTTCTAAGGATATTTTTTTGAAAGTGAATGCAGCAGGTTTCGCTGGAATTTGAACTCAGCATACTTTTCCCAATTCCTAACTTGATAACTGCTACACTATAGGCACATCTTCTTTATATATATATATATATATATATATATATATATATATATATATATATATATATATATATATATATATATATATATATATATATATATATATAACCAAGTCTGGCTATTGCCTTTTGATTAGGAATGCTTGTTTACAGAACATTGTAACCACAAGAGTTAGTTAAATTAAAAAATGATTATACAGACCATGTTCATGTGTATTTGCAAAATCGCTATCACAATGATTACAGTTACATTAAGTTTGTTTTTGCAATTTACACCTGAGAATGATTTCAGAGATCAAAAGTACTTCAGTTAACAAAAAATATGCTGCCTTCCTTCATGAATTTCAATTTGACATCAAGAAGATAATTAGAGAACTAGAAATGATTATTATAAAAATAAATAGACATAATGTCTATATTATTTAATGAAACATGTTTGACTGAATGCACACACACACACACACACACACACACACACACACACACAATTTAAAATTTCTCAGTTAAAAAGTCTACCGTTTGTCCTTGCTTTGAATATTGCTACCACATCTGGTCCGGTGCTCCTGCTGTATATTTAGAGATTCTTTATAGAACCCAAAGAAGAGTCAGCAATATTATTGGCCCTGACTTGGTGTCTTGGCTTCAGTCACTTTTCCACCATCATCAAAAAGCTTCCTTGTGTTTCTTCTAGAAATACTTGTATGTAATTGTTCTGTTGAATTCTTCGCTAGTGCAGTACTAGATTGGAAGTAAGGTCACATCAACAGGTGAATTGGTTAGATGTAACCATATGTTCAATGCTAACAGTTTCTTTTCTTACACTTCTCACTTGTAGAACTCTCTTCTGGTTCTATGCTTTCCAACCAACTTTGATCTTCAAAAATTTTAATCAAATGTCAATTGTTGTCTTCTTTTTTATATTCTCTGACCATTGAGTAAGTGGCATGGATCAGAAATAAGGAATAAGCACTTAAAAAAAGCATTGTCATTATTATTAATTTTTGACAAAAAAAAAATAGTTTTTAATGTCATGCTGAAAAAATCAGTGTATTTGTATGCATCTAAAATCTTCTGTAATAGTGTAAGTTTGTATATAAACAGTTTTGGGGTTTCACTTAAATTGGTTTTATTGGGAGAAGCAAGTAACAAATTGGGATTATTAGCTGTTGAATTCTTCATACCCTCTTCTCCACAAACATTAGTATACTTGCAAAATTCTAATACCATATTTGTATTACCAACTATATATAGAGGACAAACAGATAAATTTGGGGTCAGACAGTTTTGTATAATGAAGTCTGTTATTAAAGTGAAAAGATAGCACTGCAAAGTGATTTGCATATTGTATGATAATATGTTTGGAGCAATTGTAGAAAGAATTTGTATCTTGTATATAGTCAGAAAAAATGGCCTTCAGGAAATTCTGACTGAAATATTGCCTATGTAGTTGGTGGACTTTTTGTAAAAAGAGTCATTAAGTATCAGCTGAATTACTTCAGCAATATTGGTCAAAATACTTGGCTCAGAATGAGATGAAGAGAAAGAAAAAAAGAAAAAAAAATCTGTCTGTAATTTCTCTTTCTATAATCTTAGGCTATCTTGCACCTCCTACACATATAATATATTTACAATTACAGTCGTTACTTTTTCTCTCTTCTTCTTTGATTTTTCTTCTTGATTTTTCTTCTTCTCTCATTCTAATATGGTATCCATTTGCAAAGAAATTTTACTTGAAGAAAAAGTAATGACTTTTTAGGAGTTAAAAGATTTAGTCTTCAAAAATCTGTCTGTATATTCTCTATCCTCTTCTGAGGCTCTTCTGTGCCTTTAACATATCTATATATTTAAAACTACAGACTTGAATTTTTCTCTCTTCTTCTTTGATTTTTATTCCTCCTTAATCTTTTTCTTTGGTTATTGTTCTTTTATTTCTTTTCTTCTCCAATTCACCTTCTCTTATTCTGATGTTGTCAGTAGCATCTGTCTTAAGAGAAATTTTACTTGAGGAAGAAGTAATGAGATTTTAGGAGTTGAAAAATATAAAGAAAAAGAATCGGTAATATCTCCTTAGGTTTTCCTGCATCTTCTGCACATATTTAAAAGTACAGTCTTTATTTAGTCCCTCTTCTTTGATTTTTCTTCTTTTATTCTACATGTTTGATTTTTTTTTCTTTCATTCTTCTTCTTTCATTTTACTTCTCTTTTGCTCTACTTCCATTTTCCTTCTTTCATTCCACTTTCATTCATTGATTTTTCTTCTTTCATTCTTTTTCACTGATTTTTCCTCTTTCATCCTTTTTCATTCTTCTTTCATTTTTCTGCTTTCATTATTTTTCATTCTTCTTCTTTCATTTTTCTTCTTTCATTCTTTTTCATTTTTCTTTATTGATTTTTCTTCTTCTATTCTTTTTCTTTCTTCTTTCATTCTTCTTTCATTTTTCATCTTTTATTCTTTTACATTGGTTTTTCTTCTTTCATCTTTTTTTGTATTTTTTTCATTTTTCTTCTTTTATTTCTCTTCTTCTTTCATTTTTCTTCTTTCATTTTTCTTCTTTCATTCTTTGATTATTCTTCTCTGAAGAGAAATTTTGAATTTTTACTTGAAGAAAAAGTAAGAGCTGTAATTTCTTCCCTTGCACCCCCTACTCATCTAAATATCATAAATATTGAAAACTACAGTTTTTACTATTTATCTCTTCTATTTTTAATTCTTTTTCTTCCAGGATTTGTTTTTGATTTTTTTTCACTGATTGTTTTTTGAATATTCTTCTTCTCTTTTTCTTCTCTGTTTCTTCATTTCCAATTTTGGCATTCTTAGTAGCATTTGTCTGCAGAGAAATTTCCCTTGAAGAAAATTTTTTTAATTTTTAGGTGTTGAATATGTTTAGTCTTCAAAATCACAATCCAAAGATTAGCCATAATGGCATTATAATCTCTTAGTAAAGCTACTTGGTATGAGTTAGGAAATAAAAGTTTTCTAAAATTATTCATTTTTGTTGGTTAATTTTCTTTTTTTAACTTTGACATGAAAAGATAATTACTACCAGGATATTATCAAGATGATGGGTTCCTGATTCTTATAACACCAGATCATCAAAATTATTGGAGAAGTCACATGCAGGAGAAGCAATCTTGATTGCTTTCTTGACATACTATTCCCACCACACATTTGCAGACGTTTGACTGATTCATTCATTTTCTATGGCTTATCAACCCTTTGCAGGTTATTTAAAGCCAGAAAATATTTTTAGATTGTAAGAATTTTTTTGAGATAATAATGATTTAATGATACAAGTCTTACTAATTAACCCATAGTTGGTAGTGGGGAGAGAAGAGTTGGATTTATACCTTTTCATTTGCATGCAAGTGAATATAATGAACCCAACTGGAATTTGAACTCAGCTCTCCATTTAAAAATTCTGAGCCATTATCCATTACAACACTTGTACAGCAGTTGGTATTCCCAAGCAGTTACCCATGTAGGTACTGAACAGGCTCAAAGTGGCTTAACTTCAGTGATTGTGAGGGAACAGGTTCTTCAATGTGTTAAGGCTGTAAGCCCATTTTGCAGATGATGTAACCTAATTCACCTTCAACATTGGTCATATTTATCATAGATTTAAAGTACACTAATAATTTTTAAATTACTTTTAACTTACACTAATACTTCAAGAATTAAACATGCTCACAGATGGAAATAAAAATTGGTAAAAAAGTAATAATAATGACAATGCTTTATTTAAGAAGTGCTTATTTCTTATTTATGATCCATTCCACTTACTCAATGGTCAGAAATTGTAAAAAAAAAATGCAATAAAATAACAGAAAGGAAAAGGTAAAGAAAAATTGTAAGGTTGGAAAGTTTTTCAGCTTTTATAATTACAAATACTCATTGAGAGATGCCAGCAGAAAATTTTGTTTTTATTATTTTTTTTAATGATATTGCCCTATGCAAAGCAGTAAAGCCACTAAGACACAAGTGGTGACTGAATTTAGAGGAACAAGAAAAAAAGAGAAATATTTGAGAGCAAGAGGAATAGAAGAGTAGTCAAGAAAACATTAGAAAATGATTGTCATTATATTTTATTTTTTGAAGATCAAAGCTGGTTGGAAAGCATGGAGCTGGAAGAGAGTTCCATAAATGAGAAGTGCGAGAAAAGAAACTGTTAGCATAGAACTTATGGTTACATCTAACCAATTCAGCTGTGAATTGATGAGACCTTGCTGCTAATCTACTACTGAACTTAAATTCATAAAGTCTAGATACCATCGGAAAGAGTTCATCTGAATAATTACCATGAAATATTTATAGAAAAGGCAAAGAGAAGTTAAATATGGTGGTAGGAAAGTCACTGAACCTGAGATACTAGGTCAGGATCAATAATATTGCAGATTCTTCTTGGATTTTATCAAGAATCTTTAAATATATAGCAGGAGCACAAGACCAGATGTGGCAGCAAAATTTAAAACATGGATGAATGGTAGACTTATAAATATGCAAGATACACTTTGGCAAGTAAAACTGTCTACCACAACACAATGAATTGACTTTCTTATCAGCAGACCTAGCAATGGATTCAATATAGTCTTTTTATCTCACATCAGCCAAGAAAGTTAAATTGAGAAAGTGCAATGAGTCATTCTCATTGAGGCTAGAATTCTGTTTCCCTAAGGTTTCTCTTGCCTTTCTTATGCCTTGTAAGTGCAATTCTCTAGGTCCTCTTTTCTCCTTATGTATCCTAGATATTTCAGACATCTCTTTGCAGTTCCTTTTTCATATGTTCTGTTTATAAGATTCTCAGAATTTGTTTGTAGAACCATATCCTTGTTGCATCAAGTTTCTTCTTCATCTATGAGGAAATAATTCAGCAT